TTGCTTTTAAATACAGTCTTAGTGCTGTTTTAAGCTTTAATAGCTGTGAAATTATATTTAAATATTTTTATAGCTATTAAATAATGTTTAAGCTTTGTGTCCTGAAGTTTAAAACGGCACTAAGATTTTTGGTACACACAATATAAGTAAATACCCAAATCTTCAGTTTTGATGAATAGGCCTCATAATTAGAATGGTTGGCCTTTAGAATCATTGGAGCGAGGAGGCAGGGAGAACCCCAACACATGTTTTTCTAAGTCCATTTCCTCTCTATTTTCACTGTGGTTCACAGGACACACAAAGTCCTTAAAACAGCTGCAGGTCGCAGTGACCTCTGGCTTCTTGAGGTGGCTCTCACGAGCCCAAGGCCTTGCCCAGGATTGTGCCATACATTTGTTTTTCATCTCTCCTTTTTTTCTTTCTTTTTTTTTTTTTTTGTTTTAATTGAGTGACATTTTAAAATTTGGAAGAACCTCTTACCTTCACAGTATTAAGAAAGTTCTCATTGACTTTCTCAAACTGACAGCATTACAATTTTGTGTGTTGTTTTGTGGATCAAATATTATTCACCTCAGGTAACTACAGGGAGGAGTTTAGAAGGCCTGTCCTATGGGTCCATTAGTAGGGTTAGAAAGATGCACGATAGGGTCTGAAGCTTAATTGTTCCCTTAAAGGTGATAACCATATTTTACCATTCCCTTTGAATACAAGTAAATAATCACAGAATTACAGGCTTCCACATCTGTGAGAAGAGGAATAAACTAGATTTTGCCAGCTGAGTCTCCAGGATGAAAGAGATGGAGAAATGCAACGAGCCCCCCTCTTCTCTAGAGCAGTGTCTTGTCAAGTGTGGTTTGTCCCCAGATCTTTGAACCAACCTAGCAGAAGCTCGCATCCTCTTTGGAGGCCGGCTAGTGATCACACACCTAGGAGAATCAACACTAACAGGAAAACCACTCTTAAGTCATGTGGCCTATTCTGATGAGTCTTCAGTCTCTGCACTGGCTGAATGGATACAGGCAGGTTTGCTGGGTGTGCTGGTCCTTCAGTTTTTGGCAAAATTCCTCCCTTGGGTTTGCTTTGTTAAGACTTCTGTAGGGTCTGCTTTGAGAAATACTGTTCCAGAGTTGGCAAAGCACTTTTTAGGGGCAGCATTCTTCAACAGTAGGTGAATTCTCTCTGTGCCTGTAACAGTGTCTTAGCATATTCATAGCATATTCATAGATTGTCATCCAGAGTCAATTCCTTCTTTTTTGTTTTGCCTTATCAGCCTGCACTTAGACTTGAACAAGCAAGATTCCTACGAATGGTTTCTTAGCTATAATATATTTATAGTGACTCTTAGTTTCTGTTGTTATCTCATGGATACCAAGTGCATGACTTTACACCTGTGGCATTCTATCACCTAAATACAAACGGGAGGCCAGGCATGCAGCCAAGCTGTCTTCATGTTTTCAAATCGTTCTTTATTTTTAGAGCTATTAAAGACTGTATTGCCCTGTGCCTAAAGTGGCATCTCAGATCCATTCTAAAGAAGTACTCTGCCAGTCAAATTTTAAATCAGTTTGACAAACATGTATGAAGTCTGTGTTGGTTCTGGGAAAGATCCAAAGTTCAGCTAGTTCAGGCCCTCGGGAAGCACCCAGGCTAATAACTGTAACCTTCTGTATTTACTTGATAACTCAAATGGTCTTGTAGTCATGAGAATTGGAACTGTAAGCCAACCCCCAAGTCTTAACTCAATCTAACCTGGAGTCTTCCTTGTGGTACAATCCAGATGCCCCTTTTAATTCTCAAAGGTGCCAGTATGTTCCTCAGTGTTGCTGTCAGCACGAGTACGTTGCCAATAGAT